CTGTATTTAGAAAAAAGTAAACTTTTACAATAGTTTTTGTTTATTTGTTTACAACTAAAATTAAACTATTAAGTGTTCAATAACATTTTAAAATTAACAAAAAATCAGTTGTTTTAAAAACTGACAGGATTCTTAAAAATAATCATCTAAATTTTTGCCTGCATGGGAAATACACATTAAGTTTGAAAACATTTTCAAAATACTTCTTTAGAGTTTAATGTAAAAGAATTTGATCTTTAAACTTTACGTCTAATAGTTTTATCGTCAGTAATGGTTACATTATCCTCTGAGCAAGTAATGATTGTTTTTTTGTTTTTTTTTTTTTGTTTAATGTGGATTGAGTGATGAAAATTGCCAAAATGAATTTTAGATCAAAAATTGCAAAATTTCATGCATTATCCTTTTACTTTTTAATATTCTCCTACCCCCAGAAATACTTAGAAAATTTTCACACTAGCAAACTAATTCAGGAATGGTGGAGTATTTGAAAAAAAGTCAAGGAAAAGTGTATTAGACTTGATGGTAGTTCGAATTTAACATAATTTTTTTTGTGATTTCAGTCCTGTTTCTTTTCTGACACACCTTGTATAAAAAGGATAAATTGAAGTGTAGTAACAGTTTTTAAAAAAATGTCAAATCACTATTAACACCAGTTTCAAAAGATTTGTTTTAATTTTGTAGCTATTGGTATTGTTCTCAGTTTGTCTATTTTTCCTAATGTCTTTGTTGAAATAAACATTTGAACTTTCTATCACATAAAAAAAAAATAGGTACTTTTTGTTATGTCGTGTATCTTGCTAAGTAAGCATTCAACCTCTGTTCTAGTTGTTGTCCATTTATCATATGAGCTACCTGCTCATATGCAAATTATACTAATTTGCATATCACTACATCTCCCTATAACGGAGGGGCCTTATGCCACGAGTACTTCTTGTACTTCTTCTTGTGCCCTCCTGAACATCTTCCTTTATCTCTCTCCTTTCCCTTGGAGATCTAGATCTATCACGTCTTTCCCTATAATCGAACTGTTCCTCTTGCATACTGTGGTCTTCCTCTTCTAACTTGTCCCATTCTACTTCTTCCTCCGCAGTTTCATTCTGCATTAACTCTTCTGTTACGTCAATAATGGGCATCTCTGAAGGCATTTCCTCATCCGATTCTTCTCCTTGGGGTCTTATTTGGTCAGCATGAGCTAGAATACTGTTCCCATTTTCTTTATTTAATATTGCAGTATTATGTCCTTTCTGCATAATAAATTCGGCTGACTTGGGTTGCATATTCCTGTTTCTTTTGTACCACATCTTTTGATTTGTGGCATATGACATAGTCAAAGGGGACCTTAATTGTCTGCCCATTAAGGCAGATGGACTTTCTGGCCTGCCTGCATGTGGAATTGTTCTATAACTTAATAGTAGTCTTGGTAGAAAAGCATCGGCTTCCTCCTTCTGTTGCAAGCATGCTTTTATGCCCTTCTTTACCGTCTGGACCATCCTTTCCGCTATCCCATTACTTTGTGGGTGGTAGGGAGGGGTCTTGTAAGGTCTGCATCCTATTTTTCTTAACCATTCATGCAAATCAGCATCCACAAATTCTGGTGCATTATCAGTCACCAATGTTCTCGGTGTCCCATTCCTCGAAAATATTACTCTTAATATTTGTTTTACGGTAGTACTTTTTTTTATCAGGTACTCTCACCACTTCAGGCCAACCTGAATATGCATCTACTAATATTAATAATAGTCCTATCCCATTGACATAGGCATGGTCCATGTGTACTCTGCTCCATGGTTCTACTTCTCGGGGCCATACATGTATTTTCTTTTGCTTAAAATTCCTAAGTTCTGTGCATTTTTTGCATCTTTTTACGTAGTCTTCTACGTCTCTTGAGTACCCCGGCCACCAAGCTTCCAATTTTAATCTTCTTTGCATAGCTGCCACTCCACAATGTACGTCATCGTGTACACTTTTTATAACCTGTCTCCTCTGTGTTTCTGGGGGAACTACCAAGTCTCCCTTACATATTATCCCGTTTTCTATAGTCATTCTATGTCTAATTTCTTTGAATGGTCTTTCAGCCATTGAACAATTTTCCCCAGCGATTCTGTTTTATCCTCGACATTATTCTATTTAACACTGGGTCATTTGTAGTTTCAGTAGCCATTTTATCTACAGATATTACATCGGTTTCTACAAGGTGCAAGAATGTGTCTTCAAATTCCTCGTCATTTTGTCCTTCTCTCTCTATAAAAACCTCAATCTAGATAAGGCATCAACATGCGGTATCGTATTCCCTTTAACATATTCAATGTCAAAGTCGAACGCCATCAGTCTAATCGCCCAACGTAATATTCTGGACATTGTAACTTTCGGTAGATCTTTTCTTGGGTTGAAAATAAATTCCAGTGGTCTGTGATCACTTTTCAGCAAGAATTTTTTTCCCATCAAAAACTGTCATGCTCTATCCGTTGTCCACACTATGGCTAGTGCCTCCCTTTCTATATTCAAATAATTGTGTTCAGTTGTTGTTAATCTCCTCGATAAGTACATTATGGGATGCCCATCTTGTGACAAAATACCAGATATGGACTGCTCACTAGCGTCAGTAGTTAGAGTTATGTCCTTCTTAGGGTCAAAAATTTGTACTATTGGCTTTTTTTTGCCAGAATCTGTTTTAAGTTTTCAAAGGCTTTCTGTTGGTGTTCTAACCAAATGAATTCCACATTTTTTTTCTTAACTTAGCAAATGGTTCTGTCAACTCATTATATTTTGGTACATATTTTCTATAAAAATTTACCAAACCTAAGGACGACTCCAACTCTTTTTTTATTTTTTGGTGTAGCAACTTTTAGAATTTTCTCTATTAGTACTTTATCTGGAGAGATCCCTTCCTTTGATATTGAGTAACCCAAAAATGGTATTTCATTACTGTTGGTTACACATTTTTTTGTATTTATTGTCATACCAGCGTCTCTTAGCCGGTTCAGTATATTTTCAGTTTTTTTCTTTAAATCATCTTCATTTAAATCTCCAACACATATATCGTCTTGATAACAGATGGTATTTTCAACATTTCCTATTACTTTTTCAATAGCTTTTTGAAAAATGCACTTGCCGTTTTTATGCCATACGGCATTCTTTTCCACCTTAACAGGCCTATAGGTGTGTTTATGGTCGTCATTTCTTTAAAATTTTCATTTATCAGTATTTGGTGGTAAGCTGATTTTAGGTCTATCTTCGAAAATACTTTCATTCCAGCAAGTTTATGTAAAGCTACTTCCACATTCGGAATAGGGTACGAGTCAGCACAAACTTTATGGTTCACCCCTATTTTATAATCTCCACAAATTCTCAGGTCACCATCTTTTTTTTTCAATACCACAATGGGTGATGCCCATTTACTTCCTCCTGGAGGGTCAGGTTCTAATAAGTCTTCCTTTATTAGCTTTTGCAATTTAGCTATTACCAACGGTAATAAATGCACTGGTATTTTTCTCGCTTCATAGTAGGAGGGGGAAACATTTTCTTTTAATTTCAGGCTAGCTTCATAATTTTTTAATTTTCCTGTTTTTTCTATTTCTATCTCATTAATCAACTTCGTTGAATTTATTTTTAACACGTCATTCCCCAATAGTCCATGCATTTTTCGGCAATTTGTAACTATAATGGGTACTATTTCATATTTTCTTTTTAGTTCTATTGAACCTTCAAAGTAACCCATAACTGCTATAATTGAGCCATCAAACTGAAGTAATTGTACGTTGGTTTCTTTTAAAAACAGTTTTCCCATTTTTTCTCACAAATTTCTGGGTAATATCGTGACCTCGCTACCTGTGTCAATTTGCATTTCGACAATACAGTCGTTGATTTTCACTTTTATTTTTGTATCTCCATTCTTAGATCCAGTATTTTGTATATTATCTTTTTTACATTAAAAATCTGTCTATTTTCATCCTCTACTCTTTCCACATTTTTCGTTTTACATACTTCTTTGAAGTGATTTTTTTTTTTAAACACTTTGAACACGTCTTTCCAAAGGCTGGGTATTTTTCTTTTTTCATTTCATGAATTTTTCCATAGTACGCACAATTTTTTCTTTTTGTTTGTACCGTATATGTTTCAGCCATTATTTCTTCGTAGGATTTATTTTTATTTTGGTTGTAGGTATGTATTAATTCCTGCTGTTGTATAAATTCTATACACATATTCAAAGGCATGTTTGTAACTTGTAACTGTTCCATTAACTTGTATCTATGTGCTGAATTATGCATACCTTCAATTAATCTTAGTTGGATTAATTCTTCTTCCGTTGTTTGCTCTCCTATTCCTAGATTTTCGAATTCACAGTATTTACTCGCACTTCTTAACCAGTGTAAATATTTTACTATTGGTTCATCCACTTCCTGCTTCATTGCCATAAACTTGGTCCTTTCTGCAATCACCAGTCTTTTCTTTGGCCTCATGTTTCCCTCAATAACCTGACTTATTTCTTCGAAAGTCATTTCTTATAGTTCTCGAGGGTAAACCATTGTAGCAACCTTCATAATCGCTTCACAACCAGCTGTAGCCATGAACAAGTCGGTGATTTCATTTTTCTCCTGTGTTTTTGTTGTCTTTCAACTTTTTACATCTTGCATTAGCAGAAAAGCAACAAACCACGTATTCACGCACTCTGGGTCTTCAAGGACCAAAGAGTATCCTATCGGCGACGCCATTGTTATGTCGTGTATATTGCTAAGTAAGCATTCGACCTCTGTTCTAGTTGTTGTCCATTTATCATATGAGCTACCTGCTCATATGCAAATTATATTAATTTGCATATCACTACATTTTTGGCATATATAAGAAAAATCAACATGCCTCTATCATACTTGTTTAATACTTTATATACAAAAACAAATGTTAGCATATTATTTTTCTGCAGTCAAATTCAAGGTTATAATAAATTTTATTGTTCTCTAGAGATTCATTTAATCATTTAAATTTGTTTTTCTTTCTTTCAGAAAACACTGATGAATCAAAATCCAAGGAAGTGCCCAAAGTTCCTCCCAGACCTCCACCCCCAAGGCCAGGTCCTCCTGCTACTCTTGCAAAGCAAGCTGTGGCACAGAAGTCATTTGAAGGTGACAAAAAGAAAAAGTAAGTATTTCCATTTACTTATTCAGTATTGTTTTTTGCTGACATGTGTAGATAAAGAATAAAACAGTGGAGATTCTCTTAAGACTAAATAGCATCACTGGAAAGTGGATTACAGCAGAGTTTGGAGAACAAAATGAAGACAAGGCACACATTTCAAAAAGGGAATATTATGTAATTAAAATCATTATTCATCAGGTAAATTAGTAAAAATGTTAACATCTTTTGACACTAAACATGTGTATAAAAATATTTTTTTTTTTTAATTTAAATGCATAGCCTTCACTATTTAATCATCAGCAACATTTTAAAAAAATTGTATTTGCCATCCTAAAAAAATGATTCCAGTTTTAACTTGATGAATTCTTCCAAATGTTTTCTGATATTCTGGAACTGCTGTCCAAACAGTGAACCAGTCTGAAAGTGACAAGTCTGACAAATCTCCATTGCATGTAGAACTTCATATCCCATTCATATAATCAGTTGCAATATTACTGTCAAATTTTTTGTCCAGAAAAAGGTTTGGTTCATTGAAACAAACCAATTGTTCACTATAACATTGTGCAGTAGGAGTTTGTCCAGGTTCCAGCAAGTCATAATAAATAATTTAGTTTCAATCCAAAGACAAGAAAATCTTTTCCCAATAGGTCCCATTTAAGTTAAAATATTGTAGACTGTTATGTAGATAGACATTTTCTCATTCAAGATTTTTTAATGAATCCATTTTTCACTGCCAGTAAATATCTTGTCTCAAAATGTCTTTTCCTGTATTGAGCAAGATCTTTTCTTTTTTTAATTTATGTAGAATTCATTTTCCAAGCTTCTAAATTTTTCTAATGGCTTGTAAACTTGGTAATACAGTTGACTGATTCACCTACAATTTTTCTCTAAGTACTCATATTGTTAATTCTGCATATTTCTTCAGAAGTTCCTCCAATTAGCTTTTAAGTTGTGAAATTTCCCAGATTATGCTTTGTACTTGAGCTCAATTTTTTTTTTCTAAAGTTCACCCTATACAAAGTCCAAGATCCACTCAATGTAGAGAGTTACTGAAGGTGGTTGTTGTGTGAGTTGTAAGATTAAGGGGCACAGTTTATGTGGATATGTGAAAGATAATGGTTAGCCGTAGACTTGAAGAATTTAAGATGGTTAGGAAAGCATCCTTCTGGGATTCTGTTCCAAAAAGCAACAGTTCTTGGGAAGAGGCTATCCAAGTGGAACTTACTCTTTACTAAAAGAATGAGAGTGGTTCACCTTATTGTATGCAGTGTGGTTAGTCTGAAAATTTCTGCTTTGTGTTAAAATACACAACACAACCATTATTAATGATGTAGAAAGAAATAAAGGTGTATAAAAGTAGGGCATAGCAGGAAGAATCAAGTATTTACTAGAATAGTACAGGGAACTGACGATTTTTCCAGCATCTTTAGTGATGGGTCATATATATATATATATATATATATATATATATATCTGCTCCTGAAATTAATTTCAGTTGAGCACTCTGGGGAGGAGGTGTGGGTTGGTAAACAGTGACTATTATAGCTATATAGCGAGACTCTTCACGAAAAGTTTAATTGAGTCACTGTCAGTCACTGGGCATGTTTCTAAAAATAAATATGCTAAAAATCCACCTTCATCCCTACTGTGCGCCGACGGCTTAGTGGTTAGGAGCTCCGACTGACACCAATTCAGTCGGGTTTCGATCCTAGCTAGAGGCAACCGGATGTCTAGCCACACTGATGAGCTGTAAACAGCGAAACAGTCTGTCTGTGGATGACGTTATATATATATATATATATATATATATCAGTTCCACTTGAGGTCTGAGGGATGCTTAAGTCCCAATAAAAGTTCAAGGCAAGAGAACACCCGTTCATTGTGATAGATGGAAACTCAAGGCTACTCAGGGATGATTGAACATTACAAGTTTGGTTTTTCAGGTATTGAATCTAACCAGCCAGTTTTTTTCCTCTTATCAAAATGTTAAAGCTATTTTAAAAGAGAGCTCGGATGCCAGTCTCTGGTCATCTAGATTTTTGGAGGTACGCCCATATACCGTTGTATATGTATATATATCATCTGCATAGATATTTTTACAAGAGATGCAGATCATTAATATAGATTAGGAAGAGGGTTGGAATGAAAAGCAAACCTTGGGAGACACCTGCATTGATTTCATAGGCCTCAGAAATCTTTTAGACTTCCTACACCATACCCAATTATATGCTTGTACCTATTTAATCATTACTATAAGCTTCAGTGACCAATTTATTGTTTCTGCACAACTTTCTCCACATTTAAACATGAAGTGTAAACAATGTTGAATGTGTTTTTTTTTTTTTTTTTTTTTTTTATATTCAACCATGTAAGCAAAGTAAAATTGTCACATTTCTTTTTTCTTTCATTTTAAATTACTCTGTCTTTTTTGGTACAGAATTTAAACGCTTTGTGCTTTTATATATATGAATATAAAGAGATTTAAAATGACTCTTCATATTTGAAAATAAAGATGAAATTTAGCTCATGATGCTTCAAAGTTTCTAATTTTCTGTCATCCCTTTTCACATAAAAAAAAAAAGGAGAATTGATGATAAATTGACCATAACAATTTAAAAAAAAAAAAAAATAAAAAAAACCCTTAAATATGTAAAATTATTTTTCATACTGGGTGGTCCGAAAGTCTTGTCACCCCTCTCCTTCCAAACTGTAAGAACTTGTCAGCTATCTGAAATAGAAAATTATATGATGTAGGGGGTGACAAGACTTTTGGGCCACCCCATAGATTAGCTTTACTTTTAGTTTATTTTTTTAGATAAAATCAAAATTTTGGTAGAAAGGAGAAAATTTTATTTTAAATTATTTTAAAAATACCCTCATTTTGCCTGTACAATATCATTTTAACTAGTAAAGAAAGAGTTTTTTATTTTTTTTTTTTTTTTTATTTAAGGAACAATTTTCAAGCCCTGTAAAAATTATTTTTTAAGTATTTCTTTAAATAACTCTTGCTTTATCTGGAATTGAGAATCATTGTTTATTTACTCACTGAACAGGGGATTGTTTTTCAATTTTAGTAATGCAGTGTAAACTTGATGGAATTCATTAATACTAAAAGAAAAATTTTAAATTTATTTATTTTTTTTTTTTAGTTTTACTTTTTGTCTTTTAGTTTCACTCAGCCCACTTGCAAAAAATATCCCCGTGTTAAAAGAAATTATTTTGTTTCATCTAACAAAATAAAAATAAAAAATAAATTTTTTAATCAGTATAATTAACAATGGAAACTCAATAATTGTAAATAAATGGATTTTCCACTATATTTTAAACAAAAAAATTTTTTCAATTTACTAATTTTCTTTGAAACAAATTTTTAGACTAGACATTTGATTTTTCTAATATTGAGCAAAAGATGCCACTAGAAACTTTTGAATCGACCTAATAGATTTGAAACATTTGTATCATATAAAGTTTCATAAATTTTAAAATCAACTTCAAAGAATATAGGATTTTTTATTTCCAATATAAAAATCAGTCTTTCTCTCTCCAAAATTGTAGAAGAGGGTTTTGTCTTTTTTTTTGTTATCAGTGAATTCTTGTACTATAGTTAGCAGTATGATTTTACTATTTTAATTTTTTGATGAATTACAATTCTTAATTCAAGAATTAAATAAGCTCCTTGTGAGATCACCGACTACAAAATACCATTTCCCGTATTGCATCATAAATATTTGAGCCAAACAACTTTAACAAAATATTGAAATAGCAATCACAAATATTTATTATTTAAAGAAGTTTGTTATAGCCTCCTCTATCTTCCCTTTATTGCTCATTATTATTATCATTATTATTATTATATGTTTTCTTTCTCTCACTAAAACCAAACAACATACTTGCTATATTGTTTTTTTCCATCTTTCCTTGTAATCAAAATGGAAAGGTCCATTATTTATCTGAAGTAATGTCTAAATTTAACACACATGCTAACTTATATCTTAATTAATGGCAGAACAAGCAGAATTATAATATGATAGTAGGTAGGGAGCAGATTGACTCAAAAAGAAAAAAATGATTAACTGACATAAGGAGGTGGTTCAAGATTACAGTAGAAGATTTTATGATTCCATACATTCAAAAAGATAAACCTGCTTATCTGTTGATGTTGTTATTATTATTATTAACTTGAGCAATATTACATAACCTCATTGGTGCACATGTATGTTTTATATGGTAAATTGTTTTCATTTTTATTTACAGAAAACCTGAGATTACAATAGTGAGTGCCCGTCCTATGAGTGAAATATGCTTCCGTGATAAGAAACCAGAGATTCCAGTGCCGCCCCGTCCTCAAAAGTTGAAAGACCAGGGTGAGGCTTCATCTACCCTAAGCATCAACTCCACTAGTGTTGCACTTTCTACAAACTCTTCAAAACAAATACGTCACTCTACAACAGATGTTCGCAGCAAATCAGACACTTTACCTCCACGACCTCATCTGCCTCCAGCAACAGTTACAAGAAAAGATCTAACCAAAGTACCCCCACAACGTCCCGCACCACTAAAGTCAACATTGTCTGCATCCACAGAATCTTTCCCTCCTCCCAGACCACCTGCATGTTCTCAGTTAGAAAATTCCCAACCTCATCCTAACCTGAGAGATATATCACCTCATTTGGCAAAAGAACAATTGATACAGTTAAATTCAACTGGCAAATCTCTGATTCCACCAAAACCACGACCTCGCACTTTCATTGACAGTTCCTCAAAGACCCCCAAACCAGTCATAGTTCAGCGCTCGGTCTCTGCCTACAAGCATACAAAAAATGGGATTCCCCCACAGCCACTGCCTCGAAAACTTGGAACTTCCTTCACTGTAGAGTCTGATGCTTCAAAAGCTTGCACAGTAGACGAACCTATTGCTGAAGTTACTCCTCCTCCTAAACCAACCCGACATCAAAGCTTTCGAAACACCACTTCACCAATCCACCTCAGTACTCGTACTTGCTCTTCTCCTCCATCACAGTCTCAAGAAACTTCTTCCAAATCTATCTCGGCTTTATCCTCAGCTAAAGCTTCCACCACTGAGGAAGAAGTTTTAGATACAGTTCCACCTTCCACTGAGGAAGCCACGCCTACTAACCAAACAGATCCCTCATCATCAGAAAGCACAGAAGCACCTGAGTCTTTCAAAGTAGAAAAAAGATCTTCCAGCACAGAGAAAACTGCACCATGCCCTCTTCCTCCTAAGAAGAATTCTCTAGTAATTTCGCAATCTTCCATCAAAAGCTCTTCTGAGGAAGATGCTCCAGGTAAAAAAATGATGCACTCTTTCAGATCTATCAGAAAATACCTTTTACATTTAAACAATTTAAAAGAATGTAACTCCTATTATCATCTTGCTAATAACTAAGGTTTAACACATCTGTATTTAATGAATACTTCAAGGGAAAAATGTGAATAGTCATATTAATTCTTGGCAGCATTGTACAGTACTCACAATAAGTTAGAGAGATTGTGAATATTATGGGTATTCTTTTGCTGTTTTATCATGTTTCTAAATTTTATTATGTATAATATAGATGTTTCTTTTTCATAAAAAAAGGGATGCATGATTGGATTACAAGTTTTATTAGTTAATCTAGTGTTGCTTTAATGGCAACATTGTAAATGTGTCTTTCTACCATTGACATTCATAACTGCATAACATTTTTGCACCATAATTCTCATCAGTTACAGGATATTATTTTGTGGTATGGCATTCCCCCTCCTTAACCACAGTAACATGCAGTTCTCAGATGATACAAGGTGAGGAATCCTGAGCATAAAAATATCATTTTAACTGACTCCAAGGATGTTCTATTTATTTGAAATCTGGCAACATGGCTGTCCACATCAGTCTCTTGGGGATGATTACTAATGATGTGAGCACAACAAGGAATTACATTATCATCAATGAAGATGATGAAGTTAGTCCCATGGTAATGCTATGGAGGAGTGATAATGGGGTCAGAATCCCAGTGATGGTTTCATTAACAAGAATAATTTTCCTGTTGCTGTTTCCTCTTTTTCCAGAATTTTATGATACCACCTCCAGCTTGATGGTTTAGAACTAGGTTAACCATTGTATAACCCTCACCTCTGAGTTTGCATACTCTTTGATAATTTTTGTATAGTGATGCTGCACTCAACATTGTTGACTAATGTTGTCCATATCCACCTCAAATAAGCTCAGGCTCACTACAGTCATGTTTTTTGGTGATTGTCTGTTTCTGGCATCACATGCAATAACTGCCTACCATAAAATCCAAAACAGTGAAACCAGCTGCATCTTGTCTGACAGAATACTTGTCTCTCAGATACATTTGAAACGGATTTGATGTTATACATTGATGGTGCAAGACATAGGTTTAATTGTACTGATTTTCATTATGATCTAAACTGTTCCTGTCATCTGATATTTGGAACCAAGTCGATTGTTCACACTTTGATAAGTTCACAAGCAACATTAACATGGTAACTTCCTGTTTGAGGGAAGCAAGCATTTGGTGATATTGTTATTTCCTAAGCTTATGCTCATACATTGTTACAATTTGGATTAGGACTAACAACCTGTGCCTCTATCGCCCTAAAAACATAACATAAAAACAATAGCCACTACCATTACTTGTTTGTGATTTTGAATCTAAGATTCACTCAAAATGTGAGCAAAGAAAACAAGTACAGTATTTTCCCTATATACAGAGATGAATAACTACACAAATATGAGGTCATTCCGGACAAACGCTCTGAGGGAAAATGGACATGTTTTAATTACAATATCTAATTTATTGTGAGTAGTGTACAATAAGAAATTTAATGTTCACTTCTGTTCTCATATGAATATTTTTGTCAAATTAAGAAAAATATTAAAAGTTATATAATTCTTAACTTATTACCTTTATTTTAACTTTGTTTATCTTTAAGACAAACTGGAATTAATATCTTTTTAAGCTTAAATTATGATTGACCCTTTTTTTGATAGTTGAAATAGCTTTGTATCCATTGTATTGTATGTTTATAAAAATGCAATATTCAAGTGATAGAATTATTGATAACAGTCACAATGACATTTCCAGTAAAGGAACATAATTAACAATCATTGGGTGATTTTATTTTTGTCACAAAAGAAGTAGAGATGTAAAAAATTAAATCTGTTTTATTAAATCTGAATTTTACCTGTCCAACCATTGTGTTGTGATATTTTAAACTTAATAAATATCATAAATATTAAAATTGAGTTTAGCTTAAATAAAAGCCAAACAGGAGATAGGAAGACTGTTGTGCCAAGGATGTAGAGATGACCTGACTCCCTTAAAAAACAGTATTTGATGTCCTGTCCAGTCTAAAACATTGATCTCTGGCACCAAGGGAAAATGTGTAACTATTTCAGTCCGTATACCATGTGAAGATTTCTATTTTTAAAAATAAAACCAACCTCTTAAATTAATATTTTTTTTTGTTCATTCTTGAAAAACATAGAATATTTATCAGTAATTTTATACACAGACCTATTGGAGTTTTTATTACAAATTAACTACATTTTAAAGTATTTCTGAATTTTAATCCATTGAACCTATGTTACCAGTTTACCAATGCTAAAGAATCTAAACTAGTAAGAGCATGGGCCTCAATTTTAGAATCCACAAAATAGTTTGAAGCAGCGTTGTCCTGTTTTGTAGCCCTAGAAACTGGCTAGGTCTTAATTACTGCACATTTTGTGTATATATTTCTGTGAATAATTCAAAATGATTGAGTTCTGACAAATGTGGATATTGTCACAATTATTTTTATGTAAAACAAAAAATATACTGATTGGCAGAGAATTACACAACCTTACATGTAAGTAGAATAAAGTTGTTCACATGAGCAACTTTGTATAGACCATTTGCTGCTCTTCTAATTTGTTCTGTTACACAGGCATTTCTGAAATAGTGAAATTTATCCAAAATATCCAGGAATCTTGTATCAGCAAAGTAGACAAGTTTCAATGTTCAGTGGATTAAAATTATTTTCAATTAAGTTGAAACTGCTAAAATTAAGATATATCTATTTACTTGACTAAAAAAATTAACCACAGAAAAAGAAGTTAGAATGTCAAATTTTTTGCACAAACAAGAATCCAATTTCTTTATAGTTGTCTATTTTTTATATTAATTGCTAATTATGGAAACCCAGTACTGGATTTAATAGCAGTGTAGACATAGCTCTCAAGCCTTGAGTGACAGCCAATTTAAGAGGACAACACAATCCAAAATTGTGGTGAAGGCAAAGAGAAACCACTTCACTATCTTTCTCAAGAAGTCATGATATCACAAATTTAAAAAAAAAGAAAGCAGTGAAGAGCCCTGACTGCCTGCATCCTGAAGGGACATGGCATTAAAAAAAAATCACATCAGGCAAACTTATCAATTTGAACTTAAGTAATAGATAGAGAATTAATACCTAATAAAATTTTACCATAAAAAAAAAAAAAAGTGTAAAAATTCTAAAATTTCCAGCACCCCTCAACTCGTGTGCATGTATAGTCTTACCAACATAACAAATTTAGTCCAATGAAGTCTTGAAGGATGAAATACATCACAAGTAAACTTTTTTCCAATTTGTCATTCAATTTCCCCAATATTGTTCTTGATATATAAATATATATTGTTAATTCATATGAGGTCTGTTTGAAAAGTAATGACAATAGGTATGCCATGAGCTATGGGTGAAAGAGGCATAAGCAGATTCAGTTATCATCTAACATGATAACTTGGGAGTTTATAACTGTAATCCTAACTTTCTGCAACCATTGCATATTTATTCACATGCGTGAGTTGTGGCTGTATCACCATGACAATGCACCTGCACACAACACCCTGATTATCCGGTAGTTCCTGGCTGAGAAGAACATTGCCATACCAGAACAATCTCCCTATTCATCTGATCTTGCACTGTGTGACATTTTTTTCCCCCACAAGCTCAAGGAGACCCATTTTGAAATCGTGGAGGCTAACAAAAGGGCTGTAATGACGGAGCTGAGGGGCATCCAAGAAAAATCCTTCCAGCAGTGCACAGAAGCATGGCAGAGAAGGATGGAAAACGAGTGCATTAGACTCAAGGGGAAATACTTTGTAGGGGGAAACCATGTTTCTTGAAATTGAACTAAATTGCTTGAACACCAGGCCCATTACTTTCAGACAGACCACACACACACACATACATACATATATATATATATATATATATATATATATATATATATATATATATATAAAATGTATACTAACATAATGTTAGATTAAAAACCAATTGCTTTAAAATTATTTTGAGTATAAAAATAAAGTTAGCAGATTTAGACTTTGAAATGACCTAATGAGTAATATGCATTTCTTTAATTGCTTTGTCATTATGGCTTCTCATGACCTAATTGCTAAGGTACATTTGATTTAAAAATAGTTTCCTTGATGGAAAAAAGGGAATACAAGTTGGAACACTCTTGGGAAGCCTATTTTCATTAGTTGAACTTCTCCGTCTCTCGGCCAGTTAACATTAATTTCACCTGCAATAAAACCGATATAAAACCACAAAGTATAATATTTATAATAAATATATATCATTATACTCTTTTGAATTATACTTATTTTTCTTTGTCTTTTCTTTCTCATCTCTCAATCTTTTTTTCTTTTTTATTTTTCACCTTGTCCTTTGTCCAGTTGTATTTTTGTCTGTATTTCAGAATTAATTAGTTCTTTATCAAAGAGAGAGAAAGAGTTTATCAATTTTATTCTATTATTATTATTTTATTTTTTTGTAGTTCCTTCTCCCCGAATAAAACACTCATCAAAGGCAGATACATCAGTATTGACACCTATTAATAATTATCCAGGACCCATTGTTTGTGACACACCTGCATCAACACTAGTTAATTCAGATGCAGCCCCCGTTGTGAGTGACACACCAGCATCAACACCAATTAATCCAGATGCAGCCACCATTGTGAGTGAAACTCCAGCATCAACACCAATTAATCCAGATCCAACCCCCATTGCAAGTGATACTCCAGCATCAACACCAGTTAATCCAGATCCAGCTCTCATTGTGAGTGAGGAACCAAAAGATTTTATACTGCCATCAGCAACAGAAATTGTTGTCCCTCCTACAGCAACTGTAAACAAACCAACAATAATCAGAGCCAGTAAGTCCATTGAAAGTCTCCAAGAACCAAAAGCAACACCAGTTTCATCAATTTTGGTTTCAGATTCTGCTGAGAAGCAACCTAACTTATCAGTGTCTTCTGAAAAACTTCCCTTGGAGGAGAAAACTGCAAACATCCATCCTAAGGATCCAGAAGTCAGAAGAAGTAAAGTTCCTCCTCCAATTCCCAAAAAGAATCCAATTTCTGCTAATATCTGTGATAGAAATATTCCAAATGGTAATAGCACTAAGACTGTTTCCCAACCGCCAATCCCTAAAAAGCCTCCCAAGCCATGTCCTCCTGCAGTTGGTCAAATGCCAGTGAAAAATAAACAGAATCTGCTGAAAGAGTCAGAAGCAAAAGTGGATGGCAGCTGTAGTAGTGGCAGTGGCAGTAACTTAATCAAGAATTTGATTTTCTCCAAGAAGTCTGGTAGTCCATCGTCATCTTCTACAGATCTGAAAAAGCCTTCAACTGTAAAATCTCGTAAGGCTACAGACATGTTGCAGACCACGAAGGATTACACAAGACGTATTACGCAATCACTTGGATTCACTGCAGGTGAGTCAAAATTTGGAGAACTCTAGTATCATCAATTTTGATGAAAGTCATCTCAGTAAGTGTGGGTTAAATTTTAATTTCTTGCTCTCTATTTAACTGTTTCTTTATATTCAAATGATCTCTTGGTATGACTGGAAATTTGCTTGTCAAAATGTATTGCAATAGTCAAATTTGTATGAGTGTACAGTCAGTCAGTTATGTGCTATGCGTGATACGCACTTAAGCAACCCTGTATCTTTTGATACATGACTGACGAGGCAGATTTTTTCCTGCAGTAGGTTGCCATTTCTTTCTGTGGTAGGTTGGTTGCCATCCAAGGCTATAGAACCCAGTCTGTCCTGCTATTTACCCATAGCAGGGAGAGAAGAGGATTCATACCTTTCTCAAGGGATTTAGCATGTAAGTGAATGTAATGGATTCAACTGGAATTCAAACTCAGCTCTCCGATTTCTCAATCCGAGCCACTATCCATTATTCCACCGTTCCTCCATTAGTACAGTAATAACATAATTAACTTTTTTTCTTTTGAAAATTTTATAAAAGCTATCAAAGGTTAAGTTTTATTCATAATTATCTATTAAAAGCAGTGTATGATTTAGTATAATCAATTTAGATATTGATGTGCTATAAAATTATTTTCTTTTATAGCATTCTTTTTAATCCATTTTTATTTGTATTAATCATTTTAGATTTATTCCTGTTTATTTATTATGGCTGATTCCTATTTATATATCTTGGTTGTATTTTCCAGTATGTCTGCCCAAGAGAAATCCATTTAGATGTTGATATGACATGCAGTCATTCACATTCCTTTTGTTTTTTTCTTATAGCTGAGGAACCAACCACTGTGTGGTATACAGACAAGTCGGATGAGCCAGAAGAAAAAGTAAGTTCTTTAGATAAGAAAAAAGAGAATCCGTCCATATGGTATGTAGATGCAGTTCCTGAAGAAGAAACTGATGCTAATAAAACTACTTTTCCCCAAAAATCTGCTTTGCAAACAGACAAATCTAAGAAACCTGAAAAACAATCATTTACTAAAGATAAGGTGCAAAAGCTGAAAGACATAGACAAAAAATCAAGCCAACCAGCAGAAGAACCTAGCCCAACAGAAATCAGTGCTTTTCAGAAGTACCACAGTTACATGAGACGAACGATTGAAGAAGCTGTTGGTATCCAGTTAAGGAAAAATTCTTCTTCATTGATAGATGATGACATAAATGAAGAAAAGGAAGGGCCGGCATCTGATATAATAAAACCTGTAAAACCAGAGCCACCCAAGCAAAAACCACCCATCCCACCAAAAGTTGAATCTCGCCCCCACAAACCCAGTGCCCCACCTCAAGTGAAACCAAATGTACCTGCTGTACCTCCGAAAAGACCACCTGTTCCAGCATCAATAACCCAGGTTTTGACTAAACCTGATGGTCCTGCTGTACGTCCTCCACCCCCAAGGCCTAAACCAGTTGTCTCCGTAAAGCCAACTGTTTCAGACAATCAGAACATAATTAGTGACTCTGATTCCAATTTGAAAAGTGTAAACAAATCTAGAGAGCGAACACCAAGTATTGAAAATCTGATTGGAAAATTTGAAGAAGAGTTGTGTAAGAAAACCTTGCCACCACCAAGGCCAGCTCAACCTGCCAATAAACTCAAAATAGTGACAAGTAACTTGACAGACAATCAAGAGCAACAACTGTCCTCTCAAAATAAGGAAACAGCTGAAGATGCCGATACAAAGATGGAGATAACAAGTATGCCATCAAATATTGGCGATGACAGCAGCATTCAACCAGATGAAAATGAAAATCTGTCAATCAATGCTGCTGAGGTTAGTGAAAATACCGGAGGAACAGAGGAAAGTCTGACATCCAATCTGACTGCCAACAGTTCAGTTGATGAGAATGCCAATGAAGAAGCAGAAGATGAACAGGGAAAGATTAAAGAAACAAAAACTGTTACAAATGTTAATGAAGAATTAGCAACTGAAGAGACGACTGTAACTGAGACTAAATCAAGTTTGAACCACAAGGTGGGATACACTGACAGTTTCAACCAGCGCTGCAATAGTCTCATGAATGACCTGAAAACTCATTTCGAAAATCTGGACAAAGATGACATTGATGATAAAATCAAGGAAGTGGTTCAGCCTAGTGGTGAATCATTACACCAACTTGATGTAAACCCTGAAAAGATGCAAGACTCCAATTCAAATGAAGGTGAGGAATTTTGTTTTCTCATCTCATCTCATTTCATATCTCTCTCTCTCTCTCATACACTCACACACACACACACACACACACGGGTGTGTATGTTTTATTGAATGTGGCAGACAAGGAAAATATTATGAATTTTTCTGTTAGTTTTTTTTGTTTTTTTTCAATGGTCTAAGGGAGTGCAGAAACTGTCTGTAATGATTGTCTCAAGTGTTTTTTGCCAATTAATTATCCATTTTCAATGTTTATGTTCTAAGGTGTATTGTGTGGAAGTAGTAATAATCTTAGGCTGTGTGAGAGGTGCAACTTTGACTCCATGTTAAGGTGTCTTTTTAGAAAACTACCAACACATTACTGTTGTTGTTAAATAAAAATAAGTTTGATGCTGGGCTTGATAAATAATGTTTTTATATATATATATATATATATAAAAATACATGCATACACATACATATATATTTTTTGTATAAAAAAATTCCAAGAGGATAGAATCCATGTAGAACTCAATGTCCAGGACAGAGTAAGGATATAATAAAAAGGCTTAAACACTAATATTCCATGGTCATAATTTATTCCATTGGAATCGGAAATACGATCCAATTCATCAGACCTACAAATTCAAAAAGAAAACAGAAAAAACAACTCCAGAAATAAAAAAAATAAAATTTAGAGAGGGTGTAAGTATGAGAGTGTGGGATGAATGTTAGAGCTATAGAGAGGGGTAACAGACGAGAGAAGGTGGGGGATTAAAATTTATCAGAGAGAAGTTTTAGAGAGGGGAGTCAAAGACGGTTTAAGTGAGAGAAATATGAATGTTGTCAGATGTCTAATACATTAAAGATGTAACCGGAAAGGATACATTTTGTGGGTACATATACACACAATAGACGATCTAATCTTAAAGATCAGAAGAAGAGGGAGGGAGAGGAAAAGAAAAAGGGGTGGGGGAGAGAGATGGGGCAGGGGGAACTAAAACTGAAGGGCATTTATAAAAGGGCCGCTGTGTAATTAAGAAAATTTGACAAAATTAATATCGACTATAGGTTACAAATCAAATATAAACATATAAAAAATAAATATAACTATTATTTTACCTCTGGGTTCCATGACTTGAATCATCTCTCTACCACCAGTCAAAATTCTTAATTGAAGAATGATTCATGGCTTATAACAAAAATCAATTTAAATTTATTTAAAGAAACTGTTTAAAATGAACAAACTTCTTTCAGGTCATTGGCAATTATGGCTCTTCATAGTTTTCTATACTTTGTAACTCTTAGTAAATTATGCCTTCTCTCCTGAATCAAGCTCATTAGATTTGTTTATGCTATTTTTTTGTTTCCATTTTCTCTAAAACTTTGGTGTTGCTCACATATTCAATCTATAGCATTCTCAGCATCCTTCAGTAGAACCACATTTCTTTTGCTTCAAGTCTCTGTGAGGAAATTGTTCAGCATTCACTACCATATAGGATTACATAACAGTTCAGTAGTCTTTTCTTTGTTTCTAACAATTTTGGAAGACATCTTTTGCTATCCCAATGTGTCTTTGGATTTCAGTGTTACACTTTTCATCTTCTGTTATTCTTCCGAGATATTTAAATTTGGTATCTCCAATTTGTAATTTGCATGTTGGGCTGATCCTTTTGACATCCATGCATTCTGTTTTCTTGCAATGATGTCTAATGCTTTCTTCTCACTTTCCTTCACTATCTTCCGTAGAAGTTGTAGTTTCCTTTCTGTGTCTGCTATCAACACTGTATCATCTGTATATCTTATGTTAAGATTGTGGCCACCAATAATGAATCCTGGTAGAATCATCTTATTATATTGTTTGAATAAGTTCAGAGAGAAGACACATTCTTTTCTTATCCTCACTTTTTTTTGTGTATTTACTGAATTCATTTTCTATCCATATGAAGAGAGTTTTTCAATTATTCTAAAATTCTTCTCAAATATATATCAAAACTACCTTTCAATTCCAACAGTTCTTTGTGATGTACTTTATCAAGCACTTTTGCATAATCTATAAAATATAGGCACACATCCTTTTGCAATTTTACTGTGCTTCCTGATATTCTGATCATAAATATTGCATTCCTTGTTTCAGTGTCTTTAATGAAACTACATTGTTCTTGCCCTATTTCCCATTTCTGCTGCATGCTCTGTTCACCAGAATTTGGATAAGTTTTGTTATGTGGCTCATTAGGTTGATTGTCCAATGGAGTTCACATTTGTTTGCACCAGGCTTCCTAATTAAAATTTTTGAGAAAATATTTGTAAGAAAAATCACATGTTTGTAAGTCACATTTTCTGTTTTATAACAATCCATTATAGCCAAATGATTGTGATTTTCCAATAAATCTTGTCATTAGAAGTTCTTCTAATCATTAGACTGTGTTAAAATCATTCAAAGTATCTTTTCATTTTAAAAATAAAAATTTCTTGCTTTACAAATAGCAACACAAATTTGTATTTAAAAATAATATTATATGCATTTGTACATTTATTTATGTTTGTTATATACTCAGACTTGTGTATTTGTTTTAAAACACAAGTTTTTGCAAGAGTTTTATTTTTGTAAAGGTTGAAACATTTGTAAAAATAATGCTAAATATGATAAAATACTTTCACAAGGAATCATTTAACAGAATATTATCATTTAATAAAAAGTCAACTTTAACCCATTAACAATCAACATCCCATTTTTTGGTTATTGATAGTAATAGGTGTTACTAAATAGTATAGGTGTTACTGTAATTAATATTGGATTATTTTTGTTTTTAGAAACCTATAGTTAATGACAAATATTTATTTTAATTTTTATAATTAGCACCAGGTTTTATGTCTGGCAGTAATAGATTCAAATAAAACAATGAACAGTACCAATCTCTGATTTATCATTTCTCACTCAAAAATAATGATTTGATTATTAAAGGATTTTGAGGATCCACTTTTCCATTGAACTAAGATGAGGTATAAATCCTATTTGAATCACTGGTTACCTTATTGCTTTTGTTAGACAAACTATTACATCACTAGCTACCAACCTTACAAACTCTAAATAAAGAGTCCAATAAGAAAGTTATTTTCAGGAAAATGTACTGTCTCATAATAGTTGTTATATTTTCATGTATATTTCAAGTACTAAATATAACTATTATGGGACTGATATTATATCTTAACCAGGCAAGCTATTATTTTTATTTTAACAATTAAAATATTGTCTGAATAATTTAAAGTGGTCATCGGAGATTGACTTTGTCCAAAGAATCTTAAAAAAACAAAAAAAAACAACTCCGATCTAGATATCACAAATTTTCCAAGATACATGAATTAGCAAAATAAAGGGAGATAATTGAAGCTAATCTCTAAGTTATAAATTTACACTGTTCAGTTTTTAAAGAAACGCTTCTTTTAAATTTATGAAAATCTTTAAATAGGTTCTAATATTTTAAATTGTTTTTTCTAATAATTTTGCAACCATGGTTACTGAGATCTTTCTTTTGCAAGCATAAAACTATCAATGCTAGCTTGTAATTTTGAAGGCAGTGAATTGTAAAATCGAGACCTTTTCTCAATTGGTCACTTAAACGAAATTTTTAAAGAATTACTATTGAAACTTTATAAGACTTTGAGATGAAATATGGAAACTAATCCCTTTCAACTTTAAAATTATTTTGATTGCTTTTAATTAATGGAATATATTAATTAAAATATAATTATAAAATTCAGTCTTTTCTATAATATTAAAGTATTTTTGTAATATTAAAAAATAATTATGTGATAGCCACTCAGAGAAAATATTTTTCACTGGTTCTATAAAATAGAGAACAAAAATATTTAACTTCTGGGATGCAGAATGATTTTTATTTACATTTAGACTAATGTCCTCATCTTTGTTATTATTATAATATTTCGGGCCATTATATCCTCAGCCTTGTTCAGATGCCTGCCAAGCATGACATTAGCAGCATGTAGGTTATAAGAACATTAGATTAAAGACTTCAAGTTCTAGGTTCAGGATTGTCCCACAGGATAATAGTCTAGAAGATTAAAGGATTGTGAATTTGGTGACCTAGTAATTTGTGAGTTCAATCTCTGAGCTGTGCAGGGGAAACATGGTGAGCAGTAACAGAACTAGATATCTTAAGACATAGTTCAACTTGAAATTACTTAATAGTTACTTGGATTGATAGACACTTGAAGAAACCCAGAGGTCACAACATCCAAAAATAACAAGTGACAATATCAAAGATGAGGATATCGGTTCATATGTAAATAGAAATATTTAAATTTTATTATGTAACTTTTATTATACTGAGTGAAAAATGATGGTAACTCTACTGATAGGTAGTGTTCAATGTCAGTTTTGACAAAAAGTAAAAATTTACATGAATACTATAAAAAAAAAACATCTATAAAAAAACTGACAGTAATATTTCCAGATTTTCATTTTTGCCAAGGATCAGTGTAGTATCTGTGCACTCTTTCTATGGTAGTATTTGCAAGTTAATTTTACTCTCTTGTTTAAGCCGCAGAACCTTGGCATAGTGGATATATCTCTTGCCTGCTTATCTCCAGATCAGATGTTCAAATCAGGGTAGGATCACCATTTTTTATATGTACTTGCATTAGTGAGAGGAATGTTACAGCAAAACCAAGAAACATATAGAAAAAAAGTCACACTGTTATTATACAAGGTGTGCTTGGTAATTGTGAACAAATTCTAACATTGGAAAATAGATATATTTAATAGAAAAAGAAAACCTTTTCAAAAGATTCATACATGTTTAATTTAGAAAAATGTTTTTCATTAAAACCATGCTCAGTTTAGTGGACAGTCTCAATATGACCTTGGAAGTAACTACACGCTTAGATCAGGTGGTACCTGCTTATGTTAGTTGGCAATTAGTGTCATGAGAATGGTGTGTCTTTTCATTTCCTGTGTCAGATTGGAAGCTCTTAATATGTCTGAAAGAGAAATGGTACAATTTGCCACATGCTGCATAACATTAAGTAGTCTTTCTTTAAGGCCTGCTAAATATATGTTCTTAAATGTATACCACATTCTGTACATGATATTAATTTTAAGCTCAGTAGCATCTACCTAAAAAAATTAAATTAAAATTAATGAATTTTTTTTGAAAGGGGGCATTTTTTTTTTTTCTTTTTAGGGGAAATTCTTCTTTATGGTTAGGTATTTTTTATTTACTTATTTTTTCTTTTTTCTTTAATGATCTTAGAAGATATAGTCAATTAAATGCAAATATATGCAGCAATTCATATTTTTCTTAACTTCAATGTTTTGTAAAATAGTTTCATTTTAGCCTTCCAAATATTTAAATAATTTTTATTTAGGGCTGCTGAAAAGCTCTTGCCACAAGCAAGAAGCATTTCTAAAAAGAAAATTTAATTTATGGCCAAATTTCAGGGAGTGGGTTGGGTACCTCTTAATTTTGTTTGAGCTTTTTAGGAATAATCCTGTTGTGGAATTAATTCACAAAAACTAAATTCAAGTCATTCATTGTTATATGCAACAATTTGGAATGGTATCTAAACTTGCAAATAGATACCACGTGATTTGACACAAGCAAAAATAGACATCATCTTGACTTCAATGCATTCTTGTGAATGCAAATGCATTTTGTCATTTTTCTTTTTTACTAGTGATGAAAAATAAATATTTTACAAGAATATAAAATGATTTAAAGAATATTTTAGTGGAAGTAAACTGACTAAATCAAAATCTAAATTGATTCCTACCATCTGAGTGGTTAGTGCTTAGTGATATTGCATTGGTGCAGTTAATGTTGCTACCAATTAGTATTATACAGCTTTGAAGAAAAAGAGGTCAAATTTTTATCAATCCCAAAGGTTTGGTTGTCCATGATGGTGGAATGACACCATACAGCAAAGATCACATTTGAAGATTTTATCAAGGTGGGGGGATGAGGCAGTGTTCTATTCTTTTTACAGAACCATCTTGAAGAACTAGTTCTTAAATGAAAAGGTGGAAATACATGTTTCTCTAAAACTGTACTATGAAGCTTCATAATATGGTTTTGTAAATTATTGGAAAAAGATAATTGATATTGAAAATATTGGAACATATATGAGTTCTAATTAAGTATAAATTTTTATTTTCAACCCTAAATTCAGACAATGCAAGTCATTCTTATTTCTATCAATATTTTTTGTTAAAAGAATTATTATATATATCATTTGTCATTTTTATTTATAATTAATGAATGTAGAATTTTTTTTTTTTTCATCAATGTTTGTAATAATGATTACCCATTAAAGATAATTTTTTTATTAAATACAATTTTTTTTCAATATTATCTTTTAAAAAGAAAAGATTATTTCACCAGAAAGTAGGTATGTCTTATCAATGCAAAGAATGAGGCTGATACAAACCAGAGTGACAGAAAATGCAATGAAGATAATTTCTATATTTGCATCCTGTATCTGTGACATTATTTTGCTAGCACTGAAAAAATTCCACCATTTGTGAAGTGTAAAATAATTGTTGGTTGTTCATTTAGTATATTGCTGAATTTTTAAAGGAAGATTTCAGATTTAAACCTTGGCAATCATGTCAATCAATTTTTAAACTATTGGGATAAATGTACAAATTGATCTGTAGTGGATATTTCTTAATTACTATTTTTACTTATCATTAAAAATCCAAACTAGCTCTTTTGTTATTTGTAGATTAGAAATTAAAGAATTATGTATTTTACTTTCCAGCTAAAAAGACAGATGTCAAGATATTTTTGAGACCATGTGGATTTTTTCGTTTTTCTTTTAAAACAGAAACTGAAGAGAAAGAATTGGATGAAAAAGTTGAACCTGAAAGTTCTGAAGAGAAATCTTCTGATCATCTTTCCCTTGAGCCTGATTCAACAGAAATGTCAGAGAAAATCTCTCAAGATGACTCTACAAGGTTATCTCCTATTTCTATTCCCTTTCTCTACTTATCTTGTTATCTTTTCCTCTTTCTTTTTTTATCCTGTTCTTCTTTTAACATCTCTTTCATTCTTTCTCTTTTCTGATTTCAGTATTGCATTTATCTTATTACTTCTTTTTATCTGAGATATTTTTACAAGATATTTTATCTTATTTTCAATCAAGTAAAATGTACAGATTTATTAACTTTTTTTCTCTTTTCTTTGATTTTCAGTCAACTTGAGTCCAAAGTAGAGAGTGATACAAATTTATGTGCACCTTCTCTGGAAATATCGACACTTGTCATAGAGCTGGATTCTAAAGATTCTGGTAGGCAAAAATATTTGCTTTTTTCCTGACTTGGCAATCCTTTTACCAAAAAAAAAAGAAAAAAAGACCGTTTTGGCTGATCTCATTTTGATGTTTGATAATAGGCTTCATAACCTTTGTTGGTTTTGGCCCAGTATCCCACTGTTACCTACATTACATTCTATCTAAGAAAGTAATTAAAAACTGGAGAAAACTGTCGTTCATATTAAGAGTAATTTAAAAGAATCCTATCTAAATAGGTAAACTGTCTTAAACTTTGTTGCTTAATAATCGATCACTATTAGAATCTTTCATTTATCACACTGCTTTCTCTACTTTTAATGGATTCTGTTACTATGAGTACATGAATCAAATTTAGTATGTAAAAATAAAAATGCTTTAATTTATGTAAATTTTTTTTTAAAACCCAAGGTCATAAGGAATCTCCCAAGTCCTCAAGTACCTCTGAATTAACTGGACCTAGAGCCATTGTTAATTTTGATTTCGATGCTCAGGAAGAAGATGAAATAACATTGAAGGTAAGTTATTGTTAAAAAAAAAACATATTGAAACTTGTTTAATGTTTTAAAGTGGTAATGTAAAACATTATTCACTATCAGTTATTATTAAAAGCATTACTGCAGTTGCACTGGTTCTGCCCAACACTGTTATATCATTAGAGAAATATAATACTGAGCACACCAAATCAAAATAAAATTTCTTGCATTGCTCTGTAAATTGAAATGAAGTGTCACTAACAATTATCTTCCTTTGTTTGATAATGTCTTAGCCTGATGCTGTGTTTTTTGCCTTCTACACAATTTGCTTCTCTTTCAGTCACTAAGTTTATTTGTGTTTTATTTTTCATTAAAATTTAAATTATTTTTTACTCTAAGCTGTTTTTCTGTTTTTTATCTTGTTTTAGCTGGGATTTTTTTTTTATCTTCAAGTTATTTTTGATTCAATGGTTTTATTAACTAAATTATCTAAATAATCTTTTACAAAGTACTGGTATCATTTTTCAGCCAAGATTCGGTTCATTTTTGCAAATACATTCTATTTAATCCCATGTTCTTTTGCGTTTATTTTCTGTAGTTTTCATCATGTTTGAATCCATAATGTTGTTATCAGTATACATTGTAGGAGGTCAATAACATCTTTCTTATTGGGTAAAGACTAATCTTCAGATTCATGTCTGTATATCATTAAATGGTTAAAATGTGGAGGGACTTTTTGCTGACAAACAAAATATCAATTTGATAAAATGTCAGAACATGTATTTAAATTTCAGAAATGGGCCGAGGGACTAAAAAGATAAAAGTAAAAACATGCCCAACATTTACTGTATCAATGATTTGTTTTGGACAAAAAAAAAGATAGGTTTTTATCCTTAGCCCACAATTTATAATATAAATATATTGTCATGTACTTTATCTTCTGAAATTGTATTGTTCTTGTAATGATTATGGTTTAGACATTTATCCCTTTAAAATTATATTTGTTTGATTTTTAATTTACATACTCTTTAAATTAATTTATATTTTGATACAAAAGTTATTATCGTGTTTGCATCCTATTTAATTTATTCTTCATATTGTTTGTTCTTTATATTCAATTGTTCTCCTCTTTACCATATTTCTTACAATTTTTGATTTTAGTTTCTACCATCTTTTGATTTATGAATTTTCTTTTTTTTCTATAAGACTTAAACAATGCAAGTTCCTGTGTTTTAGCAACTATTAGATTCTTGTCTTTCTGAAACCTGTCTGTGGTATTCTTCACTTCTCCCCCTTATACTTATATTCCCAGTTGGTTTAAAATAAATTGTGGCTAGAACTAAAAGTATTCTTTGTCAATTGTCTGTGCCATTTTAGGCATGTGACTACACTATATTTTAGTGTAACTGTTCAGTATGGATCAAAATATTGTCTTTTTTTTTTTTTTTTTTTTTTTTTGCAAGTAATGCATTTATTTAGCAACAAACATATTTTGCTTACTGCTTTTGGCCTTCCTCTAGTTTCATTTTCATGTCCTGTTGTTGGACACTGCTATGTTCCTTGAGCACTTGGCAAGAAAAATATCACTCTCAACAGCATGCAAGATCAGCACCCTAACCATTTCATTACCATAACTGCTTATTATTTCATCCTCTATAGTCCTTTATGCCCCCCTTTTGTCCCAAACCCATGTCATTTTGGGTTCTGCATTCCTATACCTTCTTTGGGTTTGTGCCTTTAAATGAATTTGCTCCTTCCCTTGTCAATGGTCTCTTTTTGACCTGCAGCCTTATTTTTGTGTCATCTTTCACTTTGTGCCTCCTACACAGCCACTTGCATATTCTTAAACATTGTAAATAAATATGAAAATAATTTTACATCTTTGTTGTAGTTAATTAACAATCAAACCCGTCACCAAAACTTTTGGGGGGTGGGGAACTTAAACATTTCATCCATGTTCTAGGAAATTAGGTGATTGATTGATTCCAACATGAAGCTGATTGTCATTTTGTAAAACTTTGGATTGTATGATACATTTGTGATCAAGAAAACAAATATTCAGCCATTGTTATTTTATGATAATTTAATATTTGTTTTTAATGATATATATTTATATGAATCTGTTCAATTAATGAATATATTTCTGTTTTACTAGCATCTGTCAGAATTTATATTATTAGAAAACTAAATTATTTTCTTAAATTTGAAAGTTATTTATTGATCTTTTTAATTCCCATCAAATTTTTCATACATAAGATTTTATATGAAGACTAAATCTCATATTGATTGTGAGCCATAGATCTATTTTTAGATTAAAGCTGCATAATGTTATGAAATGAGCAATTACCATCAGTGTACTTTAGGTGTATAGCTTGTTGATTAGTTTTAGATATCTGAATATGAAACATTTGAATTTGGGAACCATTTCAGTAAACTAACAACAAACACTTTGTAAAAGCAGGAATCAATTTGTTAGAACTGCTTGTAGCATTTTATAACTGCATTAAGCATCCATTTTGTATTTGCAAGAAGATAAATTATTTCATTAAAAAGTGTAGAGCTCAAACCAAAAAGTGTACAACAAACTCCACAGTTACCAAATTTATTTAAGAGCTTTTAAAATAAAATTGATTCCCAGAGATTTTTGCTCATACCTAAAATTGGTTGAGCATATCAGATGGACATCATTCCAGTTTTAAAAATAATTCTTTTTCAGTTAATGCTGAGTGAAGAGCTTTCCAGTTAACAGCATTTGTTCAAATATTGTTTCATTCAAATTAACTTTCAATAAGAATTCAATGTTTATACTTTCTTATTAGCTCAACTGAAATCCACCAAATGATTTGCTCTAACTGTCCTGGGCATGACAATAAACTACATCCATGTCCTGGGTAAGATGATAAAAACTATGCCCAACAGTAATGCTTCTGATCAGGAAGTTTTGAGGAGTGTGGAACCACCTTAATTACTGGTGTTCCCAGATCCACCCTGACACAGAGTAGTGGAACCTGTTAGGGTCCCAGCTATAGGAAAATAGTTAACCCCCAAACGTGGGTCAAGATACTATGAAAGTGTAAAAATAGGTTTTAATACCAGAAATACTTTGGAAAAAAAATTATTACCAGTAATACTTTAAAAAAATATATTATCAATTATAGTTTTGAAAAAAAAAAAAAAATTACCTGCTATTAATTTTCTTTTTTTTTTTTTTTTTGGAAAAAAATATTACCAGAAATAGATTTTTGAAGGAAAAAAAATATTACCAGCAATACTGTTTGGAAAAAAACATTACCAGCAATAAAAATTGTTGGCATTAAATAACCCATTGAGGTTGACATGCCGTAAAACAAACCAAACCAAAGTTTGCTCTAATTTTAATGTTTCTTTTATTCCTTATTGTCTTCTATGAATATTTCAATAGTAATAAAATCCACACTAGTTTTCCAATCTATTAATAGTACTAGACATTTGTTTTAAACTTTAGCATCTTTTAATATTCAAAGAGATCTCAAGTGTGGCTGGTTAATTTTATTCAATCAGAGCCTATAACATCTTCCTTATAAAAAAGACCGAAATTCTTTGACTGCTGCCTGCTTAAATTTCATTGCATGCGCTAACCCCTTTTCCATCCTTTCTCTTTCCTCCTTCTCAGAAAGATGACATGGTGCAGCTGCTATCATGGGTTGATACCAGTTGGCTGTACGGCATTTGCCATGGCAAAACTGGAATCTTCCCTTTGGCATTTGTTCACATCATAGAACCTTTGCCTCAGGTAAGTCTGTGTAATTGAACCATAAGGTATACTATCACTGAAATTGGTTTATTCATTTCTTAATGGAGAAATCATATTTAATCATGAATATAATGCTATTGTTAACAAATTAGTGGGACAGCAGATAGAAAGAAGGAAAAAAAAACAAAAAAAAAACAAAATTATTATGTTCAGATGTGATTAGATTGTTGTTTGCATAATAAATGTAGAATTTTAATTTAAGAGATTATTATTATCCATTTTCATTTGATCATTTTTATATATAACAATCACAAACACAGTCTCTATTCAACCTATGTGTAAATATTTCCATTTTTAACTTCAATAAACTAATTCATATGGTCTTCATTAATTTAACCAAATTTTTTTGACAGCATTAAACTGGATAAATTTTGGGCAAAACTCAAAATGACTCCATCATCAAAAATTGCATAAATCTTCTTCAAACTGTAAATGATGATTCTTGGATTGTTATAAAAACTGATTTTGGTGTTAGCTGTTTCATTTCAATCAAAAACAGTGTTAACAAGGCATCATGTCTTTGGTGTTGCATTGTCAGCTGTAATGTTTGAAATTGAACTGGACTCTAGTGAGAAATTTCTTTATTGGGAGTGAAATAATATCATATGCAAATGATAAAGCCTTGATAAAAAGGTAATCTAAATGAGCTCTAAATATTTTTGAACTGTCTTTTTCATAACACAAAAGAAATAGGTCTTGAATTATACCTTGTTATGATGTTGATTTGGGGTTAGTAGAGACAAACACCAAATAACACGTAACAATAAAAAGGGTTTTAATAGGTTGATAAAAAGGTACAGAAATCGCCTGAGTAGTCAATAACTAGCTCAGCTAAGAACTTCTCTGTCTATCTGTCTCCCCCATGTCAACTGACATGCCACTATTTAAAGTCTTTGTTCACAGACGCAGACAACTTCATCTTCAAGAGGGGTGGTAGGTTTCTGACACAACATACCTCAAGAAGACTGATGACAGACAAAACACAATCACAACTTAACATTCACATAAACAGAAAAAAATTGATGAAGTGACTGATTTTTGTGTATCTTGATCAGAAGCTATCTTGCAAGAACAACAAAGAAGTTGTAGTAAAACACCAAACAAGCCCTGGGTGGAATGCTTTTGGAAAACAAACTATGCTGATATCAACAAGCATACCAATCCACATTAAAACAAAGATATTCTTTCATTTTTTACATGATTTAGATTATGTAACATGAACTCAAAAACGTTCAGCTCAAATTGAAATATTCTAAAACTATATAATTTGCATCATCACAGATCAAAAGTTGATAGACAAAGTGACAGAGTAACTAAATCTTAGAAATGTAACCAATTTACCTCCATCTATTGTTACCATCCATAATAAATCTTTGAAACTATTTGGATACATTAAAAAAATCTAGTGCAGCGCTTGTTAAATTGTCTTGACAGTGCTTGAAAAAGTATGGATAACATAATTCTGTATTTACCAACTAATGAGTGGAAGACACTAAATAATCTTGTTTAAAATTATAATAAATGGTAGAAATAAGGCATGTTAGCACTTAATGATGACCTTTTGCTTAAAATAATTAGTTTTGTTTTTCTGTATAAATTCTTTTGAGAATTATTTCTATAGTTTTTGCTTGTTATTCACTTACTGGTCACAAGAGGCTGCCATTAAGCTTGATGTCAAGTTGTTTATTATTTATAGAATTTACATTATTATTTTCAAATAAATAAGTAATTAACCAAGTCCAATTACGTTTAAAATTTAAAGCTAGTATTGTACAGTTAATCTCTAATCAGTAAGAGTTTAGCATTAAACCATTTTTTAACATACATGCTTATAAGTTTGAAAGAATTAATTTTTATAATAAATTGTCGAATGAAAAGATTATTTTTTGTATAAATAATAAGGATATCAATTATTTTCTTAAATAATGAATGTCATTATTTATTGCATTTATTTTACAAAACATGTTTATTTGTCTATAAAAATTGGTGCATGCTACATAATTTATTTGCGAAATATTTCATTATTTCCACAGCTTTAGTATGCATGTGTGTGTGTGTATATATATATATATATATATACACATACACATATACACACACACACACACACAAATATGAGTGCTAATAAAGATACTACACCTCATATGTTGGAAATTGCACTGGAAATTTGAGCATTTTATCAGTATCATTTTAATAACAATCTTGCTATAATGTACAATTTTTGCTATGTTAATTTAAGAAGCATACCCACAAAAATTGGATCATTAGATGTTATAGTAAGTTACATTAACTCCACATCAAAAGAAATGTCTCCTCTTCTTTGAATAGTTTACTGATTACATCAAATAATTTCACTTGCGTGGAAAGAATTCTTAACTTAGAAATCCTCTTATACCACAAGATGAAAGTGTGATATCTATGAAATTAAAAAAAAAAAAATGGTGCCTTAATGAAATCTTCATATATTTTAGGCTTGTCTTTGCTGCTTTTGAATCCATTTCAGTTTGCTTGTTATTTCTTTCTTGTTGAATGAATGTGCAGGTAGTGTAATGGATAGTGGCTAGGAATGTGAAATCAGAGAGCTGAGTTTGAATTTCAGTCGGCTTTGTTACCTTCATTTATGCAAAAATACCCTTGAATTCATCTCATCTTCCCAGCTATAGGTTAAATAGTAGTTGTATCTGGAAAAATCATTGTTAATGCAGTATTCACTCACAAAAAAATTACTCTTACAATCAAAAATACATTTCAGCTTTAAAAAATCTACAAAGAGTTGATAATCTGTAAAAAAAAAAACAAATCAAATCAATCAAAATCAATCTTTCAATCTTATGTGAATAATTTTGCATTGTTTTTACTGTTTCAAGGTCTGTTATTACCTGCTCGAATCATCTTTTGTCATTACATATTTAATAAAAAATAGTCTAAATCTATCACCAAATATATAAAGTGTATAATATTATTTTGAAATTCATCTAAAATCTCTTTTTATATTGTTTAAAATCAGTTTATTAGCACCCCCAACTAGATAGCTAAGTTAATCAACTTGTAACTTGCAAACTTTGAATATTATTCTCCTGTTCAAGCAACATTTTTTTTTTTTTTCCTGAACATTTAAAGAGTTTGTTTTCTTCTCATTTTCAGACTCCATCTGACACCAATGGTAACACAGTAATCACTGATGTCAGTCAGAAAGCAGAAATGGAGGATGATGCTACTAAAGTGACAAATGTTGATTCTCAAGGAAACTCCACCCAGGTAATGGATGATGCCTATCAGAGTCTGTCTGAAGTCAGAACAGGTTCTGCCCCAGAGTCCATAATAGAAACTGAAGCTGTTAAAATTTCGGCAAAAGATGTTTCTGAAGGAGCAGCTAAAGATGATGCTGAAGAGGATGAATTAACTGATTCTGATCAGCTTGATAAGATCAGCATTCCTGTGGGTGGTGAAGAAACAATTGCTTATGCTCTCTATGATTTTGTTGGTGAAGACGGAGAATTAAGTTTTAAGGTGAGACATACAAGTTCTCATTTGAAAAACAAAACATTGTTGGTAACTGCTTTCATTCAACTATTTTTTGTACATTATATATTTTGATGATGAAGAATATAGGATAGATGAATTCCTTTGTAAAAGATAACAAAATGACATTATTGTTGTTTCTACTCTTTTTATCAACAGTGTATAATATTCATACATATTTTCTTTTATATTTAGATAAATATTTTCTTTGATTTATCTAAAAGTCTCAGATTCTGTATTTAGTCTATGAAAATCTAACTGATATTAAAAATTTACATATGTCAAAAACATTTTTTTATCTTTGTATATTTTTATTGATTGGTTGCTTCACACATTTTCTTTTACTTTTGACCTTGAAAACAATGTTTGTAAAGCTGAATAATTTCTTTAAATGAATTCTTAATTATATCTTCAGGAAGGAGATGCAATTACAATTTTGAAATGGGTCAATGAGGACTGGCTCCTTGGTAAAAAAGATGAACTGGTTGGTAATTTGCCAGCAAATTTTGTTAATTTTATGGGAGACAGTACTGATGAATTGGACCTTGTTTATACAGAGGGTCCCCCAGAACCAAAAGAACCACCACCTCCTCTACAACCAGATGTGGTAAGTTTATCAACACATGCTTTCTTGTTTTTACATGTTTTAAACTTTCCCAATGTATATCCAGGATAAATGTTAAAAAAAATTGTTTATAATTTTAATTATATAAAAATATCTGCCCGAATGTAAATAATTACAATACCTCATCTCAGAAATACAGACAGATAAAAATATCTGGTTTTAAATAATAAATAGATTCATAAAATCTCTTCTTTTCCTGTTGACATTTTTTTGATAAAGATTAAATGAAAAATGCCAGTTCTTTAGCTTCTCTTCTTATTTACTTTTTGGTTATCTCATTCAAGAAAAAATGCATAAAAAGAACACATAGCAATTTTCTTTTTTAAAGACTTGTTGAGTTTACCTACATTTTCTATACACGTCTCCCAATAATTGTTAAACGCCTGACAACATATCTACACATGCATTACAAACTTTTTTAAACATAAATTTTTGAAAAAGTTCAACTTCTGTTCATTTTTTCATTGAAAAAGGACATAGGTATGTCTAAAAATTTTGATTTTAAACTTTTTTCTTGTTTCTACTTTGTGTTCTAGCTTAATAACATATAATAAATTATAATAATATACTTTCTTTTTTGGGACCTTTTTTTTCATTAGACTACTATATTTACATTTTGTTAGATGCACACATTCTTACATTATATTATATAATAAAGTTCAACTTGCATATGACCAGCCTGATGACAGAGTGTAATAGCATGCACAAAACTGGCAGTTGTAACCAGTCATATGTATGTCTCACTTTATTGTAGTAAATATAATACACTGTCAATTTGATATTGAGCACTTTGTTTCTATGTGTTAGTTTAGTATACTCTTTTGAGAGTCTCTTTTTTATATGTTCAATATCTACTTGAATATGAGTATTCATCAAAAATAACATTTAAACAAAATAAATTAAAAATAACTATGTCAGATTTAATCCATTTCCTAGAAATAAGTTGCGTTTACGTTAGAATACGATACAGAGCAGATATGGATGTTTCAAGAATCGGTAGAGAAGTGTGTGTTTAAAAGGCACTATATGGACATGCTTTGGCCATAAGTCCTACATGGCTGAGTAGTAATGCACATCATATATATATATATATATATAAGGAACATGCCATCAGTAATTACTCAAGGTAGGAAACTTTTATGTAGTAAATCTGCAAAAAAATAAAATATTTCACATTTTCTGCATAATAATCAGAGTAACCTTCATAATTTTCTTGGATTAGGTGCATATTGTACCACAGAAGGAATATAGCTGCCTACCCTGTCTACCTAGATGGCATGTCTCATATATATATATATATATATATATATATATATATATATATGAAACTATGGATTAAATGGGACAGAATGATTTGAATAAAGAACAAATTGGAGAGTCTTTATAAATCTAACAGGTTTCATTATCTTCATCAGAAATTTTTGTAAATGAAATAATTCTATTTCACTTTCAAAAATTTCTGAATCTAAATAAATAGTGAAACCTGTTAAATTTATTAAGATTTCTCTACTTTTCCTTATTTAATTATAAATTTATAAGATGTGTGCAAAAATGTCCAATGGTCAGTTTTTTTTAAACTAGAAACTGAATATGCATGAGAAAATTGGTTTAAGTAAAATCTCATAAACTTTTGCACACACTTTATAATATATTAACTGTTTAAAATAAACCCTTCAATACATTGTGATTTTAAAAAGGACAATATTCTTTTCTTTTAGTGAGCTAAATTCAGGATGTTGTTTAATACATAACCCATTTTTTCTTTATTTATTCCCCCAATGCTCATTTTTTTGCTTATGAGTAGAAATAATTTTACTCTAAAGTTTGAAACTTCTTATGACATATCATAACAAAATTAATTTGTCATTGTAATAGGTCATTTGTTTTCTTAATTTTTCAATTTGTTTATGCCTTACAGAAAAATAGTCTGAATGAATTAATGATAAAAGATATTACTGGCATTTTAAGAGCTCTATTTAGTTCAACACAGAATTTACAACCTTGGTTAAAGAAAATTAAACTATTTCAAATGAAGTTGAACTACTGGAAATTTTTACAATACATTGCAATTATGGAATTAAGAAATCACTCACATATATTAATAATACATGAATAAAAGAAATCGTTAATTAATTTTTCAATTGTGGCTTTTACAATTATGAACTTAGAATCTATATAAAACATTGATTTTTGGTTTTTCCTTATAAAGAACTTTACAAAAGACAGGATTTTTTGTGAAAAATATTTCTCCTCTTTTATCCTGCTGTTTTCCTTTGCTTGACCATATTATTTTAAGGTTTAATTTTGCAATAGCCCATGGAAAAACAATATGACATTTATCTATGACTAAGAATAATAATTGCAAACTATCTTCTAAAATGATAAAGTTTGGCTTTTCCATCAAAATGAAATCCTTGATAACTCATAACAATAGAATCAGTGTATTTTTTATGAAATGCTACACACTATGCAGATATAAACAAATATGTTAATGTTTTATAATATCATGTCCCTTCAGAATGTAAGCAATCATGGCTCTTCACAAATTCCCTTTCTTTATTATCAGTGAATTGACATAACTTCTTGGAATAGATAATGTAGTGGTTTTGAATTCAAAGTAGCTCTACTAGACTGGCTGCCAGACACTTTGTCATGCTATTTAACTCATCAGGTCATTTGTGTAAAAGAATGCCACAGACTCAGTTAGAATTTAGACTTTGCTTGCCAATTTCTCTTATCATATTCATAACTGTTACATTAGTGTTTGTTTGTATGTGTGTGTGTGTGTATAAAAAAAACGATTTTTCCCAATGCAAGTGAAAAAATTATTTTCAACTTTGAAGAACAATTTTTTTTTTTTTTTTTTTTTTTAAAGAAAGTGGAAATAAAGCCAGTCATATGAATTTATGTGTTCAGCTGAGAGAAAAACTATTAAAGTATCATTTTTAAAAATACATTAAGAAAATAATAGAACAAATGAATGAAAATTTTTGAAACTTTTCAGATATGCAATTAACGATTATTTTTTTGAAGCATTAGACTTTAAAGTGTTATTATTTATTGCTCTATTATTGTTTTTTTTATTTTTTTAATCATTTCACCCCAAGTGAGGCAATAAAGTCACTAAGACACAATGGGTTACTGAGTGTGAAAGAATATGAGGAAAAAAAAACATTATTAAGGAGTGAGAATAATAAAAAAAAACAAGAATTAAGACAGAAGATAATGATTAACATTGCATCTAAATTTTTAAAGATCAAATTTGACAGGAAAGCAAGAAGCTAAAAGAGTTCCACAAGCAAGAAGTGTAATAGAATAAACTGTTAACATAGAACTTATAGTTACATCTAGCCATTTCAACTGTAAAATGATGATACCTAACTGCCAATTTGGTACGGTGTTTAAATTTGCAAAATCTAGGTACCAAAGAGGAAAGTTCATCAGAACAATTACCATGAGAATATTTATAGAAAAGGCACAGGGAAGCTACATTACAGTGGTACGAAACTGACTGAAGCCAAAATACCAGGTCAGGACTGATAACATTGCAGAATCTTCTTTGTAGTTTATCTAAATACATAACAGAAGCACCAGACCAGATATGCAGTAATATTCAGCACATGGATGAATGGTAAACTTATAAATGTGTAAGATAGATTCTAGTGAGAAAAATTGTCTAGCATGACACAGTAAATCAACTTTCCTAGCAGCAGACTTAGCAATTAATATAATCTTTCCACTTCATGTCAGTGGAAAACATTAACCCAAGAAGCTGCAATGAGTCATTCTCCTGGAGGTTAGTATCAACCATATTGATAGAAGGCCAAAAGAGTTCTCTCAGATGATTAAAAGAGAGCAGTTTCATTTTGGAGGCATTAAAATTAATAAGCTATTCCTTGCCCCAGTTAACAATTTCACCTTATCAAACTGATCAGACTTACTATTAAGACAGGAGTAGATAGTTGGGTCATCAGCATAGATACCAAGTTGAGAATTAATAACATCAGGAAAGTTGTTGATGAAAATTAGAAACAATGTAGGTCCAAGGATAGAGACCTGGGGACACTTGTATTAATGCAAAAAGATCTAGAAGTGTGGCCATTCAAGACAACTTTCATTTCGCAATTTGATAAGAAAAACTGAATGGTTCAAACATTAGTTCAGAAATACCATAGCCTTTCAACCTGTGAAGAAGACCAGAATACCAAACCCTGTCAGCTGCCTTTGAGACATCCAAAGCAATAGCCCGATCTTCTCTATTCTTATTTAAAGCTTGATAGATTCTTTCATCAATAATCATTAATACATCAGCAGTTGACCTAGAGAAGTTAGATCAATCTTTCATATATATCTAATAATAAAAATGATACTAAAATTTAAAAAGCATTGTTTATAGCCATAGTGATTCTAGTTATAAATTTTGGTATATCTCTTTAGAATTTTTGTTATAATTAACTTTCTTACATGTTATCCCCAAATTTTTAAACTGAGACTAATTAAGAGATTATAACCAAAATCTAAAATTTTACAGATCTCTTTACCCCCCCGCCTTTCCAAATATGTTTAACTTGGATTTATTGACGAATATTAATCATCTACCCAACACTATTTGAATGCTAATATCTCTTTTTGTATATTTATTGTTGTTAACACAATGTTTTGGCTGATCCCATCTTCAGCCTTCATTAGGGTAATCAATGTGAAAAAGGAAACCTTTTTTCGCCAGTAACCAGAAAAATTGTTCATTGAGGAATCTGTGTATTAACATTGTGTTAGCATCAATAAATATACAAAGAAAATATTTGAACATCTAAATAATGTTATATATGTTAGTGATTTCCTAAGCAGTATAGACAATCATGTACATCAAATATTATATAGTGAAAATTTTAGATAGATATTTGTTTAATAACTGTGCCAAGCTGCAGGCTTACTAATTCACCTATATAAGTATAAAGCAATAAATAAAAAATAATCATTTC